GTAAAGATTTGATGTTGCAACTTTGGTGAAGATCGGAAAAGTTTAGGTCAGAAGCCTTCCATAGGTGGCGCTGTAGAGTCATATTAGGTGTGTGTTTTCACACCATTACTCTCAGGTCATTACCAACTGTTAGTGATGTGAGTTTCAGCTCTGTAGGTCTGAGCCTGTGGTCAGGAGAGCATCAAACATGGAGAAATTCCCCACTACCTCGCATGAAAACGATAACAAAATTCTAACTTTTATGCGATGATTGCATAACTTCAATCCATCCAGATGGAGAAATGACATGGTAGAAGTCTGTGCGATGAAAATCCAGGGACTAGTACGAAGCCAAAAATGCGACACCTTGAACTGCCTGTAGGTGGCGCTGTTGCACTCACAGTTGTGTGTTGTATATCGTTGTGTTCAGGGTCATACGCTGTATTTCTGAATTCATTTTTAGCCTCATCGGACAAAGATTTTGCCCCAAAAAGCTCATTCATTCACTTTATGGCGCCCCCAGTGGTCAGGTGTAGGACTTAGAACTTTTGCGTAATGTAATGTTTTGCTCGTCTCGGTCCAGAAAATACACTCAGCGATTTTCGGGCCGATCCGAGCACTAGTGCCCTATTACTTTCCGACAGGTGGCGCTAAAGAGCTCATATTGGGCGAATGATTTTAGTGTCATTGCGTTCAGGCCAAACCTAATACTACTGATGTGAGTCTCAGCTCTGTAGGTCTGAGCTTGTGGCCCTCAGGACTCAGCGAAAATGGCCAAAACGAAGGCCTTATTCGCCATGGCGAGGGACGAAAACGGTGAAGATTTTCTAACTTTTGTTTGATGATTATATAACTTCAATCCGTCCAGATTAGGAAATGACGTGGTAGAACTCTGTGTGATGAGAAACCAGGGACTAGTTCGAATTTCTAAATGAAAAGTCAAAGTAGTGGCGAAACTTTGGCCCATCATGGCCGACTTCCTGTTGGTCCCAGACATGTGCTTAGACCGGCTTTTATGCTCGTCTCATAGAGATCTATCACTCATCCGAATTTCGTGTACCTACTCCAAAATATGCAATCCTGCCTCCAATAGAAATGGCAAATTTTGAATTTTCAAGGGGGCGCTATTGATTCGCCTTTTGTCGGACAATCTCGAAACATCCGTTTGATCAAATGTTTCGCCGGACCGGTCGTTTTAGACCCCCCATGTGCAGACTTTCGTGCATGTCTTCAGGGTCAAAAAGCGAATTGTTTCGGCGGAAAAAGAATAAGAAGAATAATTAAAGCCGCAAGCGGCGATGAAAGGCCTCGCCCCTCTTGCGACCGCCTCCCGGGCGCCGGTCCCACAAGCGTCACGCCGACGAATTGGCAGCCCGATCTGACCAGGATTACGAATAAAAAAGCTCATTAATATGATAAAGTGCGCCCCTAGTGGTCACCTTCGGGACATGCACCCTCTACGTAGAGTAATATTTTGCTCGTACAGATGTAAAGATTTGATTTTGCAACTTTGGTGAAGATCGGAAAAGTTTAGGTCAGAAGCCTTACATAGGTGGCGCTGTAGAGTCATATTAGGTGTGTGTTTTCACACCATTAAACTCAGGCCATTACCAACTGTTAGCGACGTGAGTTTCAGCTCTGTAGGTCTGAGCCTGTGGTCAGGAGAGCATCAAACATGGAGAAATTCCCCGCTACCTCGCATGAAAACGATAACAAAATTCTAACTTTTATGCGATGATTGCATAACTTCAATCCGTCCAGATGGATAAATGACATGGTAGAAGTCTGTGCGATGAAAATCCAGGGACTAGTACGAAGCCAAAAATGCAACACCTTGAACTGCCTGTAGGTGGCGCTGTTGCACTCACAGTTGTGTGTTGCATATCGTTGTGTTCAGGGTCATACGCTGTATTTCTGAATTCATTTTTAGCCTCATCGGACAAACATTTTGCCCTAAAAAGCTCATTCATTCACTTTCCGGCGCCCCCATGTGGTCAGGTGTGGGACGTACAACTTTTGCGTAATGTAATGTTTTGCTCGTCTCGGTCCAGAGAATACACTCAGCGATTTTCGGGCCGATCCGAGCACTAGTGCCCTATTACTTTCTGACAGGTGGCGCTAAAGAGCTCATATTGGGCGAATGATTTTAGTGTCATTGCGTTCAGGCCATAACCTAATATTACTGATGTGAGTCTCAGCTCTGTAGGTCTGAGCCTGTGGCCCTCAGGGCTCAGCGAAAATGGCCAAAACGAAGGCCTTATTCGCCATGGCGAGGGATGAAAACGGTGAAGATTTTCTAACTTTTTTTTGATGATTATATAACTTCAATCCGTCCAGATTAGGAAATGACGTGGTAGAACTCTGTGTGATGAAAAACCAGGGACTAGTTCGAATTTGTAAATGAAAAGTCAAATTAGTGGCGAAACTTCGGCCCATCATGGCCGACTTCCTGTTGGTCCCAGACATGTGCTTAGACCGGCTTTTATGCTCGTCTCATAGAGATCTATCACTCATCCGAATTTCGTGTACCTACTCAAAAATATGCAATCCTGCCTCCAATAGAAATGGAAAATTTTGAATTTTCAAGGGGGCGCTATTGATTCGCCTTTTGTCGGACAATCTCGAAACGTCCGTTTTATCAAATTTTTCGCCGAACCGGTCGTTTTAGACCCCCCATGTGCAGACTTTCGTGCATGTCTTCAGGGTCAAAAATCGAATTGAAGATGCGGAAAAAAAAGAATAATAATAATAATATGAAACCGGTGAATAACAATAGGCCTCCCCAATACTTCGTATTGGCTCGGCCTAATAATAATATGAAACCGGTGAATAACAATAGGCCTCCCCAATACTTCGTATTGGCTCGGCCTAATAATATGAAACCGGTGAATAACAATAGGCCTCCCCAATACTTCGTATTGGCTCGGCCTAATAATATGAAACCGGTGAATAACAATAGGCCTCCCCAATACTTCGTATTGGCTCGGCCTAATAATAATAATAATCTGGCACATGGTGAAGGGTGAACCAGGCTTTTAACAGGTGAGGCTGATGAGCTGCAGGTGTGGAGGGCTGAGCAAGGGGCAGGACCAGGACTCCAGACACTCCGCCCAGCTCCAGGAACACAGGGGAGGAGGGAGAGCACACACACCCACACACAAACCCTGACATACACTGGTCCAAACAAGAGCAGAGATGAGTCATGGTTTTACACTGGTCCAGACCAGAACAGAGATGATTCATGGTTTTACACTGGTCCAGACCAGAGCAGAGAGTATTCATGGTTTTTACACGGTTCCAGACCAGAGCAGAGAGGATTCATGGTTTTACACTGGTCCAGACCAGAGCAGAGAGGATTCATGGTTTTACACTGGTCCAGAGCAGAGCAGAGAGGATTCATGGTTTTACACTGGTCCAGACCAGAGCAGAGAGGATTCATGGTTTTACACTGGTCCAGAGCAGAGCAGAGAGGATTCATGGTTTTACACTGGTCCAGAGCAGAGCAGAGAGGATTCATGGTTTTACACTGGTCCAGAGCAGAGCAGAGAGGATTCATGGTTTTACACTGGTTCAGACCAGAGCAGAGAGGATTCATGGTTTTACTCTGGTCCAGACCAGAGCAGAGAGGATTCATGGTTTTACACTGGTCCAGACCAGAGCTGAGAGGATTCATGGTTTTACACTGGTCCAGACCAGAGCAGAGAGGATTCATGGTTTTACACTGGTCCAGAGCAGAGCAGAGAGGATTCATGGTTTTACACCGGTCCAGACCAGAGCAGAGAGGATTCATGGTTTTACACTGGTCCAGACCAGAGCAGAGAGGATTCATGGTTTTACACTGGTTCAGACCAGAGCAGAGAGGATTCATGGTTTTACACTGGTCCAGACCAGAGCAGAGAGGATTCATGGTTTTACACTGGTCCAGACCAGAGCAGAGAGGATTCAATGAATCCGATTCATGGTCCAAACCAAGTGGAGGATCTCTAGAGATACAGCAAAAGACCAAGAAGTAATACCTTGTAAGTTTAACTGACAATCTGGCACATGGTGAAGGGTGAACCAGGCTTTTAACAGGTGAGGCTGATGAGCTGCAGGTGTGGAGGGCTGAGCAAGGGGCAGGACCAGGACTCCAGACACTCCGCCCAGCTCCAGGAACACAGGGGAGGAGGGAGAGCACACACACCCACACACAAACCCTGACATACACTGGTCCAAACAAGAGCAGAGATGATTCATGGTTTTACACTGGTCCAGACCAGAACAGAGATGATTCATGGTTTTACACCTGTCCAGACCAGAGCAGAGAGTATTCATGGTTTTTACACAGTTCCAGACCAGAGCAGAGAGGATTCATGGTTTTACACTGGTCCAGACCAGAGCAGAGAGGATTCATGGTTTTACACTGGTCCAGACCAGAGCAGAGAGGATTCATGGTTTTACACTGGTCCAGAGCAGAGCAGAGAGGATTCATGGTTTTACACTGGTCCAGAGCAGAGCAGAGAGGATTCATGGTTTTACGCTGGTCCAGACCAGAGCAGAGAGGATTCATGGTTTTACACTGGTCCAGACCAGAGCAGAGAGGATTCATGGTTTTACACTGGTCCAGAGCAGAGCAGAGAGGATTCATGGTTTTACACTGGTCCAGAGCAGAGCAGAGAGGATTCATGGTCCAAACCAAGTGGACCAGGTGAAAACCCACTGGAGGAATGCTAACTTTTCTCAGCAAGAAGATCCAGGGTTCTTGTCTCTGACATCCTCAGAGACACATCTTGACTCTTGACACGTGCCCAACTGCGGTCGCTGCTTAAACCTGCCCTCATCACACACACACAACTCACAACACACGACACAGACGCACAACACACGACACAGACACACAACACACGACACATAACACAGCACCAGCTCCCACTGTGGCAGACGTGGTCCAGTCCTGTCCGCTCCGATAGCCTCAGCTTGGGGGCCCTCGGCGGGGGTCAGGGGCCCGGGCAGCAGCCTTTAAAGCCTCGCGGTCAGGGGCCCTAATTACAGAGACTTAGTGGAGGGGCCGTGCTGTGAGGGTCAGAGGGGGAAGCGTCTGAGCACCGGGAGCGGGAGGGCGGGGTGTTTTGGAAACGCTCTGCTCCAGCGGCTTCTCTCTTCTGCTGCGGTGGGTTCTGCTGCGGTGGGTTCTGCTGCGGTGGGTTCTGCTGCGGTGGGTTCTGCTGCTGCGCTTCCACAGATACTTCAACAAACATCCTTAAAGACGGGGACCCTTGTCATTTTTGTTTATGATCTGGGTATTACAGAAAGATTCATTTGGCTCTTGGTTATTGCTTTTATTTGTAGATATTGAGAGTAGCAATATGTGAGATTTTCAAGTCAAGTCACCATTTAAGGGCCCTAAACTGTCATCATTAAAGGGCCCTAATCTGTCATCATTAAAGGGCCCTAAACTGTCATCATTAAAGGACCCTAAACTGTCATCATTAAAGGGCCCTAATCTGTCATCATTAAAGGGCCCTAATCTGTCATCATTAAAGGGCCCTAATCTGTCATAATTAAAGGGCCCTAATCTGTCATCATTAAAGGGCCCTAATCTGTCATCATTAAAGGGCCCTAAACTGTCAAAAGGCAAAACATCATCTTCTTGTTATTGTTTTCATTTCGATGTCCCGCCCTCCACCGTTTCACCAATCAGAAAGTCTGTGATGTGAGAGCTAATCTCACTGGTAAAGTACCATGTGGCGCAGAACTAAAAAAGGTCTCGTTATGATTCTCAAATCATTAACAACAAAACAAGGAATAAAACCAGGATTTCTATCTTTGTGAAAAAGGTGTTGGTTATAGATTTGTTGTTGACAAAACTCTTGTCTATTCAGCTGTTATGGTCCCAGCTGGATTCGTCTGCATATCTGGCAACCTGAGTCAGGGAGAGTGGGAGAGGCTGCAGTACCACTTTTGGCCAGATTTTACATGTTGCTCCTTTAAAGCTGGGTTGATTTTGAATGTAAGTAAATAAGTAATGTTTATTTATAAAGCGAATTCTACAGATCAAGGTCAGACCCAAAGCACTTTACAAAGTTCAGAGTTCAGATATTGTTTCATTCTCTCCACACGGTGAACACACTGGACCATCAAAGCCACTCACTCACTCAGACCTATTGTGCATGTTTTTAGTGGTAGGGGAAACCAGAGCACCCGTAGAACATATGCAGACACGGGGAGAACATGCAAACTCCACTCAGAAAGGTCTGGAGGTGGAATCAAATCCAGGACCTTCTTACTGTGAAGCACAAGCTCAAACTGCTGCACCACCGAGTCACCCAGGCAGGTGAAGAGGGCATTGCAGGTGAGTTATGCCCTGTCCTTGCCAGTAGGGGGCAGTGTACGGTAAGTCTGATAGTGAGATACAGGAAGCTCGTGGATAATGGCAATGTCCATTTAGTGAGGTATTGCTGTTGATTGGCCGTGAAGTCTGTCTGGAAGTGTGGTGTGTTTGATTCTTCATGTGCCTTTGGTTTTTGTAGTGTGTCCTGTTTGTTTTTTATTGGTCCAGAAGAATGACGGTAAATTTGACTCCTATGAGATCATTTTCTCTCCCTTTAAATAATCCATCTGGTTTGTCCCAACAGAAAGACTCTTGAGTATAGTTGTAAGACAGTGAGTCGCTAAATAACGCTTTGGAGTAAGAGTTGATTGGCCGAGTGAGGGTGGTCCCCCTTTTTTCATTTTACTGTGTGGAAAAGGTGGGTCTAGATGTGTCTAAAGTCAGAAAACACGGAACTATTGTGAGATCCAAGAACCACCTCATACATCAATGGACTGAGGGCCAAATCTATTGTTTCAGATCAATGTTGAGATTTACATAAAACGTGTTTGTGCAGATGTGTAATTAAAGATGTGTTTTGTATGGACTTCACTTCGTTCTCTGAAAGGCAGACACCCAGAGTATTTCTCCTCCTCTAAACCCATGACAAGGATTGACACTTAATCTTTTACTGTACAGTGTTTTACTGTATTTACCACCGCTGTAATCTCAGAGGAGCTGTTTTTGACCTCATAAAAACACTACTTCCTCAGAATCGACTCGTGTCATTTACTGACACTGGTCAAATAATGTTCCACTTTACCTCCAAGTCTTGCAGAGTGTAATGACCCTCTTCCACCACTAGATGGGAGGTTTAGGTGTATTTTAGTCATTTGTTTTCTCATATGTTCACTCTACCTTCTAGAGCCCTATTCGCACCAGAACATGCTGCAGGTTTACAGGCAACTGTGATTACTGTGGTTGGAAGTCACAAGAAAGAATCATTTTATTCTGGTGCAGCTTCATGAGCAGATGGAGGTACTCCTGTGATCTGACGTCTTTGGAGGATCTCAGGACCCAGGACCCAGGACCCAGGACCCAGACACCCACAGAGCTGCACTTGTGTTGAAAGACTATCGGGCTGTTTCCACGGGCTCCACTCTACTCCACTCGACTCTCACCACTTTGCAGGCCGGTTGTTTTTTCTGTTTTTTATGGGTTATTAGGCAACGTGTTATTATGTTTTTTGCAGCAGCTGATGAGTGATTGACCAATCTGACCAATCACAATTGACGTTCGCTGACGTCTCATAAGTAGAACATACAGAAACTCCAGTAACGTTAGTAACGTCTTTATTCAACAGGTGCCATTACAAGTAGAGATATCAGTACGCTACCTGCCTACTCATTATGTATGCGCCGTACACACAAGATACACTCTTTTGAAGACCAGGTCTTCGCAGGTCTTCGCAGGTCTTCAAAAGCACGACAACAGTGTGGCGCTGTGGCGTTGGTGGAAACAGGGCTATAATTAAATGTGGAAAATACACAGCACACTCGGATAGATGTCCAAAAGATCTAGTATTTATTAACGTTTCGGCCTTAGCCTTCGTCAGATCATTTTTATCTTGTTCATTTGGATCACAATAACAAGATACAAACAAGATAAAAATGATCTGACGAAGGCTAAGGCCGAAACGTTAATAAATACTAGATCTTTTGGACATCTATCCGAGTGTGCTGTGTATTTTCCACATTTAATTTCTGCTCCAGCACATGCACCTCATGAGAAGAACTTGGTGTGCGTTTTTGTTTTTCTGGAAACAGGGCTATAAACAGGAGAAGCTAAAGTCACATGTTCTCTGAGGCTCGCGGTGTCGCTCTGATCTCCCTGACCTGCGTGAGCCTCGCTGTTGCCGTGCGGCTGTCAGCGGCACTTTGAAGTACAGCTGTTCTGATTGGACGTAACGAAGGCGGCTCACCCCCTGCCGGCCAATCACACGTGAGGACAGCGCCTCATGCAGTTTGATGGATCACAGCTTTGATCCCGGCCCCTGCTTTTGGATCACAATAAAACATGTATTTCTGTTTCTGACATTATCTTTGACTCTGTATTTATCTAATTTACAAGTCAGGAACTTCTGACCCAAACACATCCCCCCACCCTTTCTGTTTCACTGCTCTGTTTCCAAACACGGTACACTACGATGAGGGCTCCGACTGTGACATCATGAACAGAGCCAAATGTCCACACGCTTCACCACATCGTGCACTGAAAATGTCCCAGAAAGTAGTGAGCAGGGAACGGATACAGTCATGGTGTGAGTCTTTGAGTGGGGGAGAATAGTCCATCTGAATACAGCTTACAGTATGTTTACACTCAATAATGACCACACAAAGACTTTTAAATAAACCACTACAGCTTTAAGGACAAACAGACGAATGATGATGATGATTTTTTAGTAATGGAAAAAAAGATTCCACTCAGACACTTGGGCCACGTCAGGAGAAAGAGCTGCTCCTACAGCCACAGACTGAGAGGACTGTGGAGACAGAGGAGAGAGGGAGAGAGGAGAGGGAATGAGGCGGACGCCCAGTCATAGCTAGAGTTTCACTTTTTGTGGTCTGAAAGTCAGGTACCCCAGCTTTAAAGAGCATTTTTAAGGAGACATGTTTTGTTTTGTTTGATGAACATGTTATCCTTAGTGACAAATTGTAAATAGAAAGAGAGAGAGAGAGAGAGAGAGAGAGGGAGAGAGAGGTGAAAAGAGAGAGAGAGAGAGAGAGAGAGAGAGAGAGAGAGAGATGAAAAGAGAGAGAGAGGGAGAGAGAGAGAGAGAGAGAGAGAGAGAGAGATGAAGAGAGAGAGAGGAGAAGAGAGAGAGGAGAGAAGAGAGAGAGAGAGAGAGAGAGAGAAGAGAGAGAGGAGAGAGAGAGAGGAGAAGAGAGAGAGAGGAGAGAGAGAGAGAGAGAGAGAGAGAGAGAGAGAGAGAGAGAGAGAGAGAGAGAGAGAGAGAGAGAGAGAGAGAGAGAGAGAGAGGAGAGAGGAGAGAGAGAGAGAGAGAGAGAGAGAGAGAGAGAGAGGAGAGAGAGAGAGGAGAGAGAGAGAGAGAGAGAGAGAGAGAGAGAGAGAGAGAGAGAGAGAGAGAGAGAGAGAGAGAGAGAGAGAGAGAGAGAGAGAGAGAGAGGAGAGAGAGGAGAAGAGAGAGAGGAGAGAGAGAGAGGAGAAGAGAGAGAAGAGAGAGGAGAAGAGAAGAGAGAGAGGAGAGAGGAGAGGAGAAGAGAGAGAGAGGAGAGAGAAGAGAGGAGAGAAGAGAGAGGCGAAGAGAGAGAGAGGAGAAGAGCAAGAGGGAGTAGAGTAGAGGAGTGGAGAGGAGAAAGGGAGAGGGAGGAGAGGAGAGAGGGAGTAGAATGTAGAGGAGAGAGAGGAGAAAGGGGGAGAGGCTGGGGCCAGACAGGGCCCAGACGCTCTTATTGCAGCCGGATTATATTTGGCTGGAAGTGCATCGTCACGGCGACCAGAGGCTGGGGGGTGATCATGTGACCGGGGGAGGCACATTTCTTTTGTGTTTTTTATTACATTTCAAAGTTTGGGTCAATTTATTTGTGTACAGCCTTAAATCACAGCATTAGTCGTCTTGGATGATAGTTGTTGATTCACCAACACAGATAAAAAAAATCAACAGTTTAACCACAGGAAATGTAATCATAACAAACGCAAAGAGCCATTGGTCCATCAGGGGCAGATGACAAATGTCCAAAGTGAGAACCCTCGGGGAGATCCACATTGAGGGAGGGTAGATCCAGGACTCAGACTGTACAACGAGGACCGAGGCCACACGATGCAGGATCAAGGCACCTCTCAGGCAGGGAGGAGGTGCAGCCAACGAGTCTGGGGCGAGGAGGACAGTCCACAGGGGCCGATGGAGGAGGCCGGGTTCAGGCATCCCATCATCACAACAGACAATGGGACAGCGGGTGAATAGCAATGAACAGATGACGTCATAATGAAGACAGATGCAGGAGGAGCGAGGAGAGGATAGAGCTCACGTTACTTCTCCAGCAAAGACTTTTTAGACCTAAGGTTGTATTTCTAGTCTTACCTGAGTCTTACCAAACCGTAATCTAAATTAAAGAGGACTGCTTTAAGCCTGGCCTTGAACGTAGAGAGTGTCTGCTTCCTTGATGCGGATGAGGAGCTGATTCCACAGTAAAAGATCTTGGAGCTAAACACTTTGCCGCCGACTGCACTTTTTGACTCTCTAGGACCAGGCATAGACGTCGGAACTAGGGGTGCGGGGGGTGCGGCCGCACCCCCTCCGCGTGTGCCGGGAGCGAGAAGTTATCACTATCCTGCGTTCCTTGCAGCCCAAAACCCGCTCCATGCTGTCGGAGGTGCTTATGAAGCTCTGTCTGGCTAATATCTGTCGCAGCCTCTGAGCGCTCTTTCTCAGCCTTGCGCAGATTAGAGACCTGGCTACACCAGTGACGTGCGGTGGGGGATCAATCATGTGTTCATATGATTATACATCATATAAACCAACAGGAACAGGAGCGGCTTATACACAATTTGTTTGGCTACAGCAGAATATGATTTAATGTCTGCATTGTTTTCTCATACAAAACGCAAACGTTTGTAAAAAGTACAAAGTGTGTTATGGGCCTTACCTTAGGTATTAATGAACAGCACAGACCACTTCAGTTAGGACCAGTTTCATGTTTAAGTCCAGATAATAGTTTGAGCACAGACATGTAATCCTCCATTTGGAAATAAGTTCAATGAGTTTTAAAAAGTAAAAAAAACGGGTGTCTCCTCCGTAAACTGCGAGTTTTGCTGCAGCCGACTCCCGGGTAAATCCAATTTCTAAATTCAACCTTACCCTTCACCTCCTTTTCTTATGATTCATATCATCATTGGAAGCAAAACATTACTCTAAGTGCATTTTAAATTATCTTAAAATGTATTATAGGTATGTTAGCCAAACCTGTAGCTGCCCTTAGCAGAAGAAGAACAAGAAAGGAGCTTTCTGATGGAATTGGATGCAGCCAAAGTTTGGGCTCACAAGCGCCCCCTTGAGGCTTTCCTCACTTACAAGCTGTGGTTGAGCGCGATTAAGACCCATATTTGCTTCAAAAACACAATTTATGAGCCATCCTCTTAAATGTAAACATGTTGATTGTAAATTAAATATTTTTGAACTTTTTAAACTGTGATAAACAGAGAAAACAGTTTGATAGCACCTCACAGGACTCTCCCTGTGAGCTGTTGCTTTTTACGTCTCCCAAGAGAGGCTCGCCTCACAGCACCGCTCTGTCAAATCTGCAATTTCAAGGTATAAATAAATGAAATAAGGCACAGCACAAATCACTTGATAAAGTGACCAAACATTATTGTATCCATTTTATTACTTTTCTTTCTATGATCTTAGGTGAGGGCCTTGCCTGCCTCATCTGACCGCACGTCACTGGGCTACACAACACAATGAAGCCACCGGAGAGACTGACGCATGAATGCGTATTGAAAAAAAAAAAGTTCAGTTTGATAAGTGACTTGCTTGATATATATTGTTTATTTTGTTTTTCTTAACAATTAAGATGGTATGTTATTATCCAGTGTAATCCAAGTATGAGTCTCTCCCTCGACTCTCCCAACAAAAACCCGCCCCCCCTCTCAGAAAATAGTTCCGACGTCTATGGGACCAGGAGAAGTCTTTGCTAGCGCAGTGAGAGAGTTTGGGTGATGTTGTGTCTTAGAGAATTCACGCTATGGGCTCAGAGCTGATTGGCTGAACAGTGGTCTGCTCTATTTCACAAACTGTTGATAGATCAAGAAACTATTTAGTTGTTTAAGGGGAAAAATGAACCCAATAATGCAGAATATTGTTCTTTTAATAATCTCCCGTCCTCCCTCCCTCTCTGCTTCGCTCCCTCTTTCTTGTATGAGCTGCTGGAATGTAGAATATGCCTTTTGCTCATTTATAATGTCGTGGCCTCAGGAGTGACACACAGCACAAATATGCAGCCTGTGATCCCTGCAACCAGGAGACTTTTATTACGTTTTACATTCTGTCCCTGCAGAGAGAGGCTTTGGAAACAATAGGATGTAAAGATGGATGCTTTTTCAACATATCTCTGGGACAAAACTAATTCAACACTGAAAATACATGAGAATAGACTCAGAGGGCACAGTGTGAGTTCCAGAGAATGTTCTAGTTGTATATTTTACCAATTATTTGACAAAACTTGACAAACTGAAAGCTAGACCAAATATAAACAGTGAACTAAAATAGTGTCAGTGAGTCTTGACTGTGCTGACTGTAGAGCTGTGCTGTGATGCATCATGACGGCCTCCCACCTGCAGGGGGCGTCTGAGAGATGAGTCCCACAATAAGGTCCAGGTTTTTACTGAGACATTCAGCCAGAGACCTGTCCACCTCCGAGACCTGTCCACCTCCGGGACCAGTTCATCTCTGAGACCAGTCCACCTCCGAGACCAGTCCACCTCCGGGACCAGTCCATCTCTGAGACCAGTCCACCTCCGGGACCAGTCCATCTCTGAGACCAGTCCACCTCCGGGACCAGTCCACCTCCGAGACCTGTCCACTTCCGAGACCTGTCCATCTCCAACAGACCTGTCCACCTCAGAGACCAGTCCAGCTCCGGGACCAGTCCATCTCTGAGACCAGTCCCCCTCCAACAGACCTGTCCACCTTTGAGACCAGTCCATCTCTGAGACCAGTCCACCTCTGACACCAGTCCACCTCAGAGACCAGTCCACCTCCGAGACCTGTCCACCTCCAACAGACCTGTCCACCTCTGAGACCAGTCCATCTCTGAGACCAGTCCACCTCCAACAGACCTGTCCACCTCTGAGACCAGTCCACCTCTGACACCAGTCCACCCTCAGAGACCAGTCCACCTCCGAGACGTGTCCACCTCCAACAGACCTGTCCACCTCTGAGACCAGTCCATCTCTGAGACCAGTCCACCTCCAACAGACCTGTCCACCTCTGAGACCAGTCCACCTCTGAGACCAGTCCACCTCCGAGACTTGTCCACCTCCAACAGACCTGTCCACCTCTGAGACCAGTCCATCTCTGAGACCAGTCCACCTCTGACACCAGTCCACCTCAGAGACCAGTCCACCTCTGACACCAGTCCACCTCAGAGACCAGTCCACCTCCGAGACCTGTCCACCTCCCACAAACCTGTCCACCTCTGAGACCAGTCCACCTCTGAGACCAGTCCACCTCCGAGACCTGTCCACCTCCAACAGACCAGTCCACCTCTGACACCAGTCCACCTCAGAGACCAGTCCACCTCTGACACCATTCCCCCTCTGAGACCAGTCCACCTCTGAGACCAGTCCACCTCCGAGACCTGTCCACCTCTGAGACCAGTCCATCTCTGAGACCAGTCCACCTCTGACACCAGTCCACCTCAGAGACCAGTCCACCTCCGAGACCTGTCCACCTCCCACAAACCTGTCCACCTCTGAGACCAGTCCACCTCTGAGACCAGTCCACCTCCGAGACCTGTCCACCTCCAACAGACCAGTCCACCTCTGACACCAGTCCACCTCAGAGACCAGTCCACCTCTGACACCATTCCCCCTCTGAGACCAGTCCACCTCTGAGACCAGTCCACCTCCGAGACCTGTCCACCTCTGAGACCAGTCCATCTCTGAGACCAGTCCACCTCTGACACCAGTCCACCTCCGAGACCTGTCCACCTCCAATAGACCTGTCCACCTCTGAGACCAGTCCATCTCTGAGACCAGTCCATCTCTGAGACCAGTCCACCTCTGACACCAGTCCACCTCCGAGACCTGTCCACCTCTGAGACCAGTCCATCTCTGAGACCAGTCCACCTCTGACACCAGTCCACCTCAGAGACCAGTCCACCTCCGAGACCTGTCCACCTCCCACAAACCTGTCCACCTCTGAGACCAGTCCACCTCTGAGACCAGTCCACCTCCGAGACCTGTCCACCTCCAACAGACCAGTCCACCTCTGACACCAGTCCACCTCAGAGACCAGTCCACCTCTGACACCATTCCCCCTCTGAGACCAGTCCACCTCTGAGACCAGTCCACCTCCGAGACCTGTCCACCTCTGAGACCAGTCCATCTCTGAGACCAGTCCACCTCTGACACCAGTCCACCTCCGAGACCTGTCCACCTCCAATAGACCTGTCCACCTCTGAGACCAGTCCATCTCTGAGACCAGTCCATCTCTGAGACCAGTCCACCTCTGACACCAGTCCACCTCCGAGACCTGTCCACCTCTGAGACCAGTCCATCTCTGAGACCTGTCCACCTCCCACAAACCTGTCCACCTCTGAGACCAGTCCACCTCCGGGACCAGTCCACCTCTGAGACCAGTCCACCTCCCACAGACCTGTCCACCTCCGGGACCAGTCCACCTCTGAGACCAGTCCACCTCCGAGACCTGTCCACCTCTGAGACCAGTCCATCTCTGAGACCTGTCCACCTCCCACAAACTTGTCCACCTCTGAGACCAGTCCACCTCTGAGACCAGTCCACCTCCGGGACCAGTCAACCTCTGAGACCAGTCCACCTCCCACAGACCAGTCCACCTCTGAGACCAGTCCACCTCCCACAGACCTGTCCACCTCCCACAGACCTGTCCACCTCCCACAGACCTGTCCACCTCTGAGACCAGTCCACCTCCCACAGACCAGTCCACCTCCCACAGACCAGTCCACCTCCCACAGACCAGTCCACCTCCCACAGACCAGTCCACCTCCCACAGACCAGTCCACCTCCCACAGACCTGTCCACCTCTGAGACCAGTCCACCTCCCACAGACCAGTCCACCTCCTACAGACCAGTCCACCTCCCACAGACCTGTCCACCTCTGAGACCAGTCCACCTCCCACAGACCAGTCCACCTCCCACAGACCAGTCCACCTCCCACAGACCTGTCCACCTCTGAGACCAGTCCACCTCCCACAGACCAGTCCACCTCCCACAGACCAGTCCACCTCCCACAGACCTGTCCACCTCCCACAGACCTGTCCACCTCTGGGCTATATTAAACATGTAGGCTCTGGGCTACATGTTTAATAGAGAGTTGACCATAACCCACTGACCAAGAGCCCCCAAACTCGTCCATGCCATCTCTCTGAATACTGGCTGGGAGGTCACTCTCAGGTTCCACTGGATTGGTCAGGGGGGGTCCCAACACTTACTTATCTTGTATGAAAAAGGCGTGTTGTCTTGCCCCGAGAGTCACTATTTGACTCTTTGGGCTGAGTGAGGGTGGCTCTCTTCTTCTAATGAAACAGCACAGTTAAAAATCCTCCAGAGAAGTAGACAATGCTCAGAGCTCTCCTGTGTACTAGGCCTCTCTGTCTACCACGGGGAGAACATGTTTGCATGTTCTCCCCGTGTCTCTGTCGCCACAGTGCCCTTTCCTTACACCCAGAGCGACTGGGCTGGCTTTTGCTCATATCTTTAATCCACAGACAAAGAAATAAGTTCTTAGTGGACGTTGTATTTTGCAGCGGCTGCGTTTCCTCTGCCATCTGCTAAAGGCATACGCAGTGGAAGATGCGAACAATAGAAGTTCTCGGAGCAGTAATCGTAGACAGCTTCATAAGAGCTGCCTGCGTTACCTTCAGGGACCTCAGGAAACTCTATTAGCGGCAAACATCCTGTCCAGCCCACGCATGCGAGGACTTGGCTCAGAGCGGCTCATCGAGAGAGTCAAGTGGTTGCCCTCGCGCTGTGGGATGATATCCAGGTAAGAGACTCTTGGGGAGACGGATGTTACTGATGAGAATGTCTTAAACAGATCTGGGAACAGCGGCTCAGTCTAATAGAAATGTGAAGCAGGAAGTGTGTTGTTTTAGACCAACAGTGAGGAAACACGGGCCAGAACACATGACCTGTGGCCTCAAACATGTGGGTATTCTGTGGCCCCCTAGTGGACATCGACCTTTAGTGTCAGTGTGGCGCCCACTGAGAGTCAGGGCTGATGTGGCACGTTATACATCATTTTAAAAGCCACATCAAATCAGTAACATCAGCAGCTTTTTATCACCTAAAAATATGGCCAGGATCAAAAACATAGTGTCTAAAGCAGATTCTTATCCATGCATTTGTCTCTAGTGTTACAGCTGCTCAAAACATCTGCAGCTTGGGTCCTGACTAGAACCAGGAAGTACCAGTACATTAGTCCAGTCCTCAGGTCTCTGCACCTGTGGCTCAGAGAGAGGACTTCAAAGCAAGTCTGCTTGTTACAAGTCTCTGTGACAAGTTAGTGACATATGAACAAACTGGGACTCTGAGGAGCACAGGGACTGGCCTCCTGCTGGGACTCTGAGGAGCACAGGGACTGGACTCCTGCTGGGACTCTGAGGAGCACAGGGACTGGACTCCTGCTGGGACTCTGAGGAGCACAGGGACTGGACTCCTGCTGGGACTCTGAGGCGCACAGGGACTGGACTCCTGCTGGGACTCTGAGGCGCACAGGGACTGACCTCCTGCTGGGACTCTGAGGAGCACAGGGACTGGACTCCTGCTGGGACTCTGAGGAGCACAGGGACTGGACTCCTGCTGGGACTCTGAGGAGCACAGGGACTGGTCTCCTGCTGGGACTCTGAGGAGCACAGGGACTGGACTCCTGCTGGGACTCTGAGGAGCACAGGGACTGGACTCCTGCTGGGACTCTGAGTCAGAACCAAACATGAGGAGGCAGTGATTCAGATTCATGCCGCTAAAATCTGGAACAGTCTTCCCGAAATTGTGAGACAGGCTTCTTCTCTGACAATGTTCAAATCCAGGTAAAAACAGTTCTGTCTCGCTGCAGCGACTGAGGGATTGTATCTTTATCTTCACTCTTTTTAATGTTCAGTGATTATTTATGCCTTTAATGCCTTGTGTGTGTTTGTTTCTGTCTTGTTTTGTTCAGCACCATGAGTTACCTGCGTTTGAACTGTGCTATACAAATAAACCTTGCCTTGTTTAAAGCAAATGTTATCAAGGAAACACACCATTTAATTTTCCATAAACATTGAACCTTGAGTGAAATAAACAATAATTCAAAGTAAACATTAGTGAACATTACAAAGCCCGTTTTGTTTCAATCCAAGCAGCTGGACTCGGACTGCGTTAAGAATTATATCAAATCATTCAACACAAGGAACTATTTGGTGCCTTTGGAAATGATCTAAATTCACATCCTCCAATATCAACGATCCAGTATGTAATTTATTTTTTGTATTTAAGAAAGAAGATTTTGGACGGATAGGGAGTAAGTAAGCTTTATTTATACCGCGTCTTTCACAGACCCAGGCCACAAAGGTTCACACACAGTTAAAACAGACAAAACTATTTAAAATGTGCGTACCAAAAATAAATGTATAATGGCCAAGACAACTCAGTGACAGGTTTGAAACAGCCGCAAGAAAATTATGTAAAAGCTTTCCCAAATAAATAGGTTTTTAGCTGACCTTTGAATGAATCAACCGACTCCATCAGCCGCAGAGAGAGCGGAAGATTGTCCCAGAGCTTAGGGGCAACAGCCTGGAAGGACCGGTCTCCTCTGGTCCGAAAAGCGCGTGCATGGGACCATCAACAGGTTCTGATTCACGGTTCATGTATGATTTTGTTGAATGTTAAAACGGTTAATAGACCAAACTGTATGATTTTGTTGTTTAATGAATTCACGGCTCGGGTCGCAGTGATCGCAGAGTAAAGTTTGTGATTCTTTGGTGATGAATACATACTCAGCAGGAGTTGTTTTCCAAGACTTTGTGACGGTGAATGTGAATAGGTGATATTCAAATTCAAAATGTGTCCGAGCCTCAGTCAGCTTTGCCAGTCATGGAGGGACTCACCACCTCTCACCGAGTTTACTTTCACTTTGTATAATTGCATTCTTCATGAACTACTCCGATTCTAAGACGCACAGAAAACCTTGAATTAATATGATAATACAAAGGTCATGGATTATCAGACCACTTCTGCTCTCGCGTATCCAGTAGACTATGAACCCAGGACCAGAAACAAAACAGGTCTAAACTAATTGGCTATTCAGCACACGACACACGCACACGCACACAGCACACACACACACACACACACACACACATACACCGCTGGGGGACATCATCCATTCAGGAACTATTCAATTAACGTCTGCATGTCAAATGTAAGTCCCATTACCCATATGTGTGAGGACATTCCTGAGAGACCACCAGTTGGAGACCAGAGAGTGCCCAGAGAGAGGGACCAGAGGGGGGAGGAGATCTTCTGGAGTCCCTCCTTCTCTGCGGTTGACTTTGGCATACACTGGTCATGACTCGGGCTGAGCTGAGACGGAGCTTCTGAAGGACGAGGTAGGGCAGAGCGCACGAGGGGGCGGTCACACACCTTGGAAACACAAACAGGATGATTCAGATTAGTTTGTTTGGCCATTGCAGTAAGACCACATTGGATACACGTGCAAGCGTCCCAGACACGTACTATAAATATGAATATAAAAGATAAAAGGTACAGAAACTATCATCACTGTGAAAAAAACACGTTAATTACAAGCGAGATCATTAAAGTGCTTTGTTCAGTTGATAGCAGCTGATAGAAGCTGTTAGATGTCCTGCATCTCAGCCATGATATCTTCTGCCAGAGGGAAGAGTGGACATGGTTTTCCATGTTGTCTCTCTGGGCAGAAGAGTCCTTGATTATTGTAAGAGCTGGATTTATAAAGAACCTCCAGAACAGACAGCTCTCAGTCTTCTTCTGTTCTGTCTTCTGGTTTCTCTCTGGATCACTATCTCTTTGCATAGAGGGTAATAATCCTATCAGCGACTGCTGTGCTTAGACGACACACACGCTATTGAATTGAATGGAAGCTAAACTCTCTCTGACCCCAGATAGCAAAGTCCGTGCAGTTTTCTGTTTCAGGAGATAATGCACAACTTTGCAAAAACAAGAGGCTGTCACATTGTCCTCTTTTCCAAATTGGACTTTAGTGATTAACGTAATAGAGGGGAAACAGCGCCAAAAACAATACAGACGCTTTATCTCTGTGAATTCACCTAAAACTAAAATTTTCTCTTGAAGCTCGTCTCTCTGCTCCAGGGTTTCCTGAAGCTAGTGCAATGACGGACATTCGACAGAAAGAGATCAAAGAGATGATTGACAGTCTGTTTTTCCTATTGGAACATACATCCTATAACATCCCACTAATTTGTCTTGCCTCAAAACCATAAATAGCCTGCGACCAGAGAGAGACTAGAGAGACCGAGATGAGACCAGAGAGAGACTTAGAGAGCGACAGAGAGAGACTTAGCGATGCGGACCAGAGAGAGACCAGAGAGAGGGACTAGAGAGAGACCAGAGAGAGACCAGTAGAGGACTAGAGAGAGACCAGAGAGAAGGGACCCAGAGAGAGCCCAGAGGGAGAGACTAGAGAGCGCCAGAGAGAGACCAGAGAGAGACTAGAGAGAGACCAGAGAGAGACTAGAGAGGCCAGAGAGAGACCAGAGCGAGACTAGAGAGCGACCAGAGAGAGACTTAGAGAGCGACCAGAGAGAGACTAGCCGAGCGACCAGAGAGAGACCAGGAGTGACTAGAGGAGAGACCAGAGAGAGGACTAGAGAGGACCAGAGAGAGTCTAGTAGAGCGACCAGAGAGAGGCGACCAGAGAGAGATAGAGAGCGACCAGAGATGAGGACCGAGAGAGACTAGAGAGAGTCGGTCTGTGCATTAAGGCTCGGTCTGTATATTGGCTGGGTTTAGGCTGGGTTTGTCTTTAAGGGTTGGTCTGTGGGCGGTCCATTAAGGATCGGTCTGTGAATTAGGGGCTCGGTTGGGGAATGAGGGAGGTCTGAGAGGAGGGTTAGGTCTAAGGGTCGGTCGGTCTTAAGGCACGGTCTGGTTGATTAAGGGTCGGTCTGAGTGCATTTTTTGGAGAGGCTCGTCTGTACATTAAGGCTCGGTCTGTACATTAAGGCTCGGTCTGTGCATTAAGGCTCGGTCTGTGCATTAAGGCTCGGTCTGTACATTAAGGCTCGGTCTGTGCATTAAGGCTCGGTCTGTGCATAAAGGCTCGGTCTGTGCATTAAGGCTCGGTCTGTACATTAAGGCTCGGTCTGTACATTAAGGCTCGGTCTGTGCATTAAGGCTCGTTCTGTACATTAAGGCTCGGTCTGTGCGTTAGGCTCGGTCTGTACATTAAGGCTCGGTCTGTGCATTAAGGCTCGGTCTGTACATTAAGGCTCGGTCTGTGCTTAAGGCTCGGTCTGTGCATTAAGGCTCGGTCTGTACATTAAGGCTCGGTCTGTGCATTAAGGCTCGGTCTGTGCATTAAGGCTCGGTCTGTGCATTAAGGCTCGGTCTGACATTAAGGCATCGGTCTGTGCATTAAGGCTCGGTCTGTGCATTAAGGCTCGGTCTGTGCATTAAGGCTCGGTCTGTGCATTAAGGCTCGGTCTGTGCATTAAGGCTCGGTCTGTACATTAAGGCTCGGTCTGTACATTAAGGCTCGGTCTGTACATTAAGGCTCGGTCTGTGCATTAAGGCTCGGTCTGTACATTAAGGCTCGGTCTGTACATTAGGCTCGGTCTGTACATTAAGGCTCGGTCTGTGCATTAAGGCTCGGTCTGTGCATTAAGGCTCGGTCTGTACATTAAGGCTCGGTCTGTGCATTAAGGCTCGGTCTGTACATTAAGGCTCGGTCTGTGCATTAAGGCTCGGTCTGTACATTAAGGCTCGGTCTGTACATTAAGGCTCGGTCTG